AGTCTCTGAAGCTTTTTACCTGCAAATGTACAAGAGGAAACTGTGAAAGGGGAGCAGGTGAATGAATCAGTTCTCACAGAGGGTCACAGGCAAAGCTGGTCCCACTTGGGGCATTTCACAGAATCCCAGGATGTGCTGAGCTGGGAGGGACCCCCAAGGATCATGGAGTCCAACCCTCAGCCCTGCACAGGCCCAGCCCCAAGAGTCACCCCCTGTGCCCCAGAGGATCAGCCAAACCCTCCCTGAGCTCTGGCAGCCTTGGGGCTGTGCCCACTGCCCTGAGGAGCCTGGGCAGTGCCCAACCAGCCTCTGGGGGAAGAACCTTTGCCTGAGATCCAACCTGAGCCTGCCCTGACACAGCTCCAGCCATTCCTTCGGGTCAAGCCTCTGGTTCATTTGGTTCAGTGAAACCCAAACAGAATCACAGAATATCCCGAGTCAGAAGGTACCCATGAGTAGCATCCAGTCCAACTCCTGGCCCCGCACAGGACACCCCAAGAAGTTCAGGTTTGCTGCTCTCCTCCATGCCCTGGGAACCCCAAAAGCCTCAGACCTGAACACCAGTGGAGAGCACCAGGTGAGCTGCACTTAAACAACCCATCTCCAGCTGGAACAACTCAGCACTGGGGTTGGACCAGAGCCTGGGAAAGGCTGAGATGTGACTCAGCTCCTTGCAATTCTCCCTCTGAACACAAACACCCCGAGCGAGCTCCTGGGGGAGTGAGAGCACACCAACCACTGCTGTTGCTGTTGAAATGAGCTGCAAAACAAGAAAGTGATACATCAAGTCTCAGCTAACACGTTACTCCGAGGTAAATTACAACCCCGAGCGTGTCTCCCCGAATGTAGCCAGCTCCTTTAGCAGCCTTTTATCCAAAGGGTTGCTTTTATACTTTTCAAAGAGATATTATCCCAGATTAAAAGCACTAAAAGGCAGACGACAAAAGCAACAACAACAAAAAAAGCAGGTGATGATTAAGCAACAGGCTCAGACAAAGTGTGCAGCTGGGAGATAACAGAGCATCTCAGGGGCACATGGCTGCATCCCTCCACCAGCCCAGGAGCCACGTTATCACTCCCAAACACAACCTGCACACTGGCTTTGTAATCACACCCCTGCAACAAGCATAAATAAAAGCAGCCTCCAAAAAAGTCTTTATGAAGTGTAATGTGCAGCTCAGGGGGGAAGGGGGTTCAGACTGCAACTCCCCAAGCTTTCTCCCTTAAGGAGAGATTTTTTTTTTTCCCTTGTTACCATACACTGGCATCTTTTATCTATTAACAGCTCAGACATAAAGCAGCAGAATGCCTGTGTTCATTAACTTTAATCTCTCACTGCACACTTTTAGTTGTGCAGTGATGTACACACCACACGACAACAAAGCTGAGGGCAAGGAGTGCCTAAGGAGTCCTGAGGAGCAGTTTGTTCCAGTCTGAAAACCACACATCAGGCTTTGCTTCTGGCTGTGGAACTGGGCAGGGTTTACCTGAAGGGCACAGAGCAACCAGGTGGTGGCTCTTACTCTACCCAGGGGATTAATTTTAAAACCTGAAGCTGACTTGGGAATCCCAGGAGTCTTTTAAATATTTGGTGCTTTGTTGTTCAGTTACCCAGATATGTTGTGGTTCCTCCTGACAAAAGCTACACAAATCCCCCCAGCCACCGACCTTCCTGAGCCTTGAGCAACTTTCCCAGAAGTCCAACACAGCTCCTGGGCTTGAGCCACTGCTCTCTGCAGGTCATCCTTCCCTCAGGTGTACAGAGGTGACCCTCAAAGGCTTCTCCCATCAGCCATACCCCATGGAAAATGTCCCTCCAACCCCAACAGCTGCTCCCAAAGAGGCTGCAGCAATTCCTCCTCCTGTTCCATCACAGCCTGCAAAGGCACACCCACACAGCCCCATCCTCTGCTCAACACCAGCCCTTGATCCTCCAGGATTCATCTCTAAATCTTAGGGCTCATGAGGAACTATTTTCCTGTAATTATTTTCCTGTAGAAGCCAAATCTATTTATTACAACGACTTTGTTTGCAATATCCAAAGCATCAACTATATGATGTTGCTGCTGCTGCTCCCAATTATTGCCTCCCATTAGTGGGAACTCTATGACAATGTTATTGCCATTAATAATTCTTTGCTGTCATTGAAGCTCCTTGACAATGCTGAGAGTGAACACAGGAGACCCAGAGCCACTTTCTGGTTTGTATCATTTCTTTTACAGGAGAAAAGCAGATTATTACACGCTTGGGAGGAGCTCTTCATAAACATCTGCCAAGTTACCTCATTATCTTCCTTCAAATCCCTCCTTAAAAAATCTCATTTGTCGTGATGCCTGCAAAGACTCACCAGCAGAGCACTGACATTATTAACTAACCCTACCAGCTAAAAACATCACCGCCCTCCCCACACTCTCTCTCCTTGTATTCCATCCCAATGTTTTTGAGGACAGAACCACCTTGGGGTTGTACAACCTTCAGGACAGCCCTGGCCCATCGTGAGGGACCCTGGAAGCTCATGATCCTGAGGCAACCTCTTGGTGGGATGCAGCAGGCACACTGCCTGCTGTGCAAGGAGAGAGTTGGGATTTTCCCATCTTCTGCCCACCAGTTTGGGTCATTGCCCTGCATGCCCCTCCCTCGCTATGGGTTGCTACAGGGCACTCCAGCACAGCCCTGGAGGTGTCCCAGGCCAGGCTGGACAGGGCTTGGAGCAACCTGGGCTAGTAGAAGGTGTCCCTGCCCAGGGCAGCTTTAAGGTCCCGTCCAACCCAAACCCTTCTGGGATTCTGAGAGATCCCAGAGCTGGAAGGGCTTGAACACACCACAGGCTTTGGCCACTCATTTGTCTGCCCTGGAACATCCCACCACCATCCAGCCCCACCACTGGGCCCTACCAGCACTGTCCCAGCCCCCTCAGCATCTCCAGGGAAGGTGGTGCCTTGCAGGCTCAGCAGATGAGGATTTGTCATCCTGCAGCCTCAGCCTGTGGGGGAGCTGCTTTCTGAAGGGATTTATTCTGTTGTCCTGGGCCTTTCAGAGCTCTGGCCTCACCATCACCCTCAGTGCCTCACACTGAGGGATTGGAAGAGGCTGTTCAGAAACACATTTCTTTGTGCACAGCCATGGCAGGACAAGCTCAGCAATTATTCCAGTGGGTTCTCTTTTAAAGAGCTTTCTTCTCTTCCCCCATTGACAGGGTAAAATTTGGAGAAGGAGTAGCTCATTTTGATATTTCAAGTACCTCTAAGTACTGGGTAACGTCAGATATTCCAGTGACAGATCACCTGCACTTCCCCTTCACTCTCCAAATAGTTCGAGCTCTGAAATCCCACAGCTTCACTGGTGGACACCATCCAAGCTTTGCACTGGAGCTGCTGTGATTTCCACCAGCTGAGAAGCTGCCCTCCTGTTTCTTTTACTGATAATTATAATTCATCAGCTCTCTGTGGTGCTCATTACTGTGGGATTTGAGTGCCTATTTTTCCAGGCTTGAATAGCTCGTTCTGTACCATCTCTTCTCACACAGAGTATCTCAGAATCCTCTGGAAATTAGCTCTCCACGTCCTGCACCCTCTCTGCTCTCCCCTCTGATCCCAGCATCGTGTTTATTATTTTTTTAATAATATTAAAAGCATGCAGCACAACTGATGAAGGCAGTTGAAGAAGGCAGTAAGCAAAAATCTTCATGAAGATTTTAACTATCCTAATGTCCTACTTCCACTATCCAACTGTATGTTGGAAGAAAAATATGTCTTAGAAGAATCTGAGTCTGAAGGTGCTTCCAGATGAAAACCCCTCCTGCAGTTCTGTGGGATCAAAAGCAGAAGGGAAGGAAGGGCAACAGTGACCAAGAGGAACTGGAACCAATGTGTGTGAGGTGGGAAACTAAACATCCCCATCCAGGCTTTGTCAGGGCCTGACTTGGGCAGGTTGGGTGGGTTTGTTTCCTCCTCTTCCTCTTCACTTCTCCCTTCCATACCACACCCAAAACATAAGGAAGGAGGCTCTCTGCAGGGTCCCACCATTTACAGACCCGGGATGTTATTTTACAACAGGGAAACTGAGGCACACACAGAGAAAACATCTGTTAACATCACTGCAAGGGGCCAAAGCCCAACAGCTCCTGGCTCCAGGCTGCTGGCCCTCAACTCCACGGGAAATTAAACTTAGAGGAGCATCTCTGCACCAACCAAAGGGTTATTATTAGAAACAAGGATCCCCTGAATGCAGAGCTCCTGGATGCTGACCAGAAAGCTCAGAGGGATCTGTGGTTTCCTTTTAGCTTTCCAGGTTTCAGCTGTGCTTTCAAACAACGACTACCTCAGATTTTAAGCGTAGTGTGATCCTGTTCTTTTTGCTTGAGAAGCTGGAGGAAACCAATGTGGAGGACAAATCACACCCTGTGCCTCCCAGCACTGTCACTGTGCCCAAAATTAGGATGTACCAACAATTTTATCCCATTACAGAGACAGAGCAGCAGGACTCTACTGGTGGAGAGGTTCCCCTGGTGTGGTGTAGGAGCCCACAGCCTGTGGGTCCCTGCCACCAGGAACCTACTTTTCAGGACAGCACAGTAATGACCTGCACTGTGTCTGCTCCCTGCACAGAGCCCCCAGCCCCTCACCAGTCCCACTGTGACATGGGAGGTCCAGACACAGCCCAGCACCTCTGCCCTGCTTTGGGGGCTTCCTCATGGCCACTCCTGGACATATCCGGACACCATGAACACCCACAGCAGGGCTGGGGACTCTCAGTTTGGCAAGAGTCTTCACAGAATCCCAGGATGTGCTGAGCTGGAAGGGACCCCCAAGGATCCTGGAGTCCAACCCTCAGCCCTGCACAGGCCCAGCCCCAAGAGTCACCCCCTGTGCCCCAGAGGATCAGCCAAACCCTCCCTGAGCTCTGGCAGCCTTGGGGCTGTGCCCACTGCCCTGGGGAGCGTGGGCAGTGCCCAACCAGCCTCTGGGGGAAGAACAACTCTTCCATGAGATTTTAAGAAATTAAACACCCTCCTGGTGTTCTGGAGCTGGGAGATGATGCTCACCTTCATCACTGTTGTCATCCACCAGGATGATCTCCTTGAGCAGGTGAGCCGGGGTGTGGTTGACGGCGCTGTGCACGGAGCGCAGGATCACCGAAAGCGCCTCGTTCACGAAGATGAAGATGATGGAGATCTGGGGCAGGTCCTTGCCATATTTCAGCTCTTTGCACCTGGAACACAAAGGGCAGAGAGAGGCACAGAGGGGTTAGCAGAACTCACAGTGCAGAACTTCAAGGTGGGCACGTGTTTCATATGTGGTGCAAGACAACGGCTTCCATCTCCCAGCTGTGCACAGCCAGGGGTTCCAGCTGCCTGGAGATCCATTCCTTTAAGCAATGCTATCTGGGAAGACATAGCAACAAAGAGTATCCACCAGGATGAGGGAGCACCCAGGGCAGGGTGCGAATGCAGAGTTCATTTAACTGAGGTTGTGTTCGTGTGTCTGTACTCACAGGACTGTGGGAATGTAACAGAGAGTGGCCTCCAGAAGATAGAAAATGGCTTTAGTAGTTGGAGTGGAACTCCACATTTCCAGCGCTGTCCCAAGATTAATTGGTGCTTGGAAATGAGCCTTGTTCTTAAACGGCACTTATGAATTTTCTCCCCATTTGCTTTGGGAAGAAATGAATATAAAATGACCCTTGGCTAAATAGTCTTAATAAATGTTTCAGCTCTCTTAGCAGATACTTCTGAAGTACATCCCCATGAACTGGCGTCTTTGTACTTCACAGGCAGGGTGGTTAAAACCAAACACTTGTGATCACCTCCCTGGGTTTCAGGAGGAGTTGCTTAACTTGGGCAGGTTTGGTGGCCAGGTCTCTGCTCAGACACATTTCTGTGTATCAGAGGAACCTGCTCAGACATGTTTCTGTGCATCCTTCCTCCTGGGAAGGAGTTCCCAGGTCACCCACCATCCAGCTCCATCCCCCACAAGCAACATGGACACACCAGCCCTTGAGCCAGGGACACCCCTGGAGCAGAACTTGGGCAGCTCCAAGTGGAAGAGTCCAGGTACCCCCAGCTCTGCAGGGAGAACACGCCAGTCCAACAAGATAGAGGTGTTTCAATGCCACACTTCATCCTAATCAGAGACCTCATCCCTATGTTTGCACAAAGCAAACACGAGATCTTTAACGACTTCCAACAATTTAATTAAACTCTCCAGCTTTCCCTACAGTAAGTAAGTGTGAGAGAAGAAGAGAAGGAGCCTCCCTGCTCTCTCCCTGCATCCATGACAGATTAGACATCCAACATGAGCAGAGTTCCCAGAATTACAAGGAGTGAATCCTGCCCAGATAAGCAAAGAAAGACCAAATGCACCAGTGACATCCCAGTGTCGCTTCAAGCTCCTCGACTCCCCAACAATACCTCTGGATTTAATTGTGCTGAGTGTTTCTTAGGCAACAACAGGAATTCTTCAGGCTCCAAAATGAGACTTGGGAGACAAAGATTTGCACAGAAACACAGTTCTTTATGAATCTTCTGTAGTTAAACAAGTTTGATGGTTGAAAAGGAGGTTGTATTTCTTGATTTAACTGTTGCCCGACCCAAGGCAAGCCAAGAGCTCTGCAGAATGGGATGTGCCAGACGTTGAAAGGAGCTTCCAAAGGGAAGATCTTTAAAATGAATCAATGGCCGTGAGGGGGCAAAGTGACAACTGACCCTGAAATCCTGCCCTGGAAGTCAAACTGAGCTGACTGTGAGATTAAAAAACTCCTTTTGGTTATGTTGGTACCTGCAGTGCTGAGGAGAAGGCTGTCACAGGAGCAGGAGTGTTTCCTTTTAATCATTGCTCACCTCTGGGCAGCCCTTCCCCCGAGGCAGCTCTGGGGGATAAAGAGCTCAGCTGGTGATCAAAGAGGTTTGGAGGAAAATCCAAACCGAGCTCTTTGAGGTTCATCTGCTGCTCACTCCCCTTCTCCCTGCACCACTGTCATCAGGGTTCTCCTTCCCCCCTTGCTGAGGACAGAGATCCAGGGAGAGGAGGTAAGCCTGGGAAGCAGTGGGCAAGGCAAACCTCACATTTTTGGGGGCACAAAGCTGCAATTCTCCCCAGGCAGGAGGAGGGCAGAGGGCTTTGCACAAACACCCTGCTCTGGTGGCTTCGCCTGTGACCACAGGAGTGGGGAAGACAGCAGTTAACAGCCAAATTAACATCAGCTTTGTCAGTCTTCTTCACTCCCCTGCTGCCAAAAGCAGGGGGTGGACAAGCCCCAAACATTCCTGCACTCAGGAAAACACCCAGGGCTTCTGGGCTCTCCTGGGGCCAGAGAGGGGAAAAGAGAGAAGGAATGATTTGAGCTCAAACATAATTAGAAGGGCCAGGGGGAAGTTGTTAGAAACAGCAGCAATGGAGGGTACATGGGATGGGAAGTTTGGGCTGTTCGGTGTTTTGGGTTTTTTCTTCTAAGCATCTTTGAATAGATAAAGGGTTAATCTGGACTCTGTGGTTCAGCCTTAACTTCAGACCATTTAAGGCAGAGGCACAGGTTTGAGGTTTTGATCCCTGGAAAGCCCTGAGCTCCCAGTTCAGGAGGATTTCCTGCAGCTCAGCAGGTCCCAGGATAGGAGAGGCTGCTGGGCTGCCCCTTACCCTGACTTATACACCTCCCTCCTCCCCTGCACCCTCCTGCACCACAAAAGGTGGGAAATTGCTGCTGCCTTCAGTGTTTCAAGCATAGCCCTGAGGGACAGCTCAGAAAATCCAGCGGCCAGCCCAGATCCCAGCAGGAGCAGGGACAGGGAATGCACAGGTTATCAGACCTCACCTCTGCCCACATTTATTCCCCTCAGGTGAGAGAGCCTTTGGCTCTGTGCCTTCAAAATTCGAATCCCAGGCGAAAATACTTCCAAATTCAGGGTTCAAGTCTCTCCAGCTATCCAAAAGAGGCTGCTCAGCCTGGAGAAGGGAAGGCTCTGGGGAGACCTCAGAGCCCCTCCCAGTGCCTAGAGGGGCTCCAGGAGAGCTGGAGAGAGACTGGGGACAAGGGGTGGAGGGACAGGACAAGGAGGAATGGCTTCCCACTGACAGAGGGCAGGGTTAGATGGGATATTGGGAAGGAATTCTTGGCTGTGAGGGGAGGCCCTGGCACAGGTTGCCCAGAGAAGCTGTGGCTGCCCCTGGAAGTGTCCAAGGCCAGGTTGGACGGGGCTTGGATCAACCTGGGCTAGTGGAAGGTGTCCCTGCCCATGGCAGGGGATGGAACAAGATGATCTTCCAACCCAAACCAGTCTGGGATTCTGTGACTCTCAGTTTTTATTTCTAACACTCAGCTCTCGCTGCATCTGCTCCGCCCAGTCTCAGTCCAGTGAGGGGAATGTTCAAGGGAACACTCCAGACATTTGAAATCTTTTACATTTAAATTAAATACAACGGAGAGAGCACCACAACACACTCCTGTCAGTGCCAGTGATTAGTTACCCATAGGGTTAAACAGCAGCACCTCATTTTATATTTAATTTAGCCCACGTTCATTATCCCACCAGTACCAACAGGTTGTCTGGGAAGTTTTTCCTCCACGTGCATCAGGTGCTCCCCAGCCAAGGGCACTTCTGCAGGTAGACTCAAGGCACAGGTCCTGCCACATTTTTGTCCCCACCACATACTGCTGTCTCCAGTTAAACACAGGCTGGCACCTGCTTGCAGGACTTATATCAAAATATTGTGAATCAATAGCCAAAAGAAAGAGACACCTTAGAGTTTTGTCTGTCCTGTAGATCAATGGGATATCAGAGTGAGAGGCATTTTATGTCCCATTAAATCATGCTCGAATACATCCCATTAAATCACACTCACAAAACTCTCCAAGTTTTAAGAGGCTTGGGAAAACCTCCCAGTGCACTGGGTTTAATTTAAGGACCTTGCTGAGCTCTCATTGAGAGTGTTCTTGGCCTTAAACAGGGGGAAACTTAAACTCTGCCCTTGGTCTAAGGCTCAGGCCTGGAGCTGTGTCAGGGCAGGCTCAGGTTGGATCTCAGCCAAAGGTTCTTCCCCCAGAGGCTGGTTGGGCACTGCCCAGGCTCCCCAGGGCAGTGGGCACAGCCCCAAGGCTGCCAGAGCTCAGGGAGGGTTTGGCTGATCCTCTGGGGCACAGAGTGGGATTGCTGGGCTGTCCTGGGCAGGGCCAGGGGTTGGACTGGATGGTCCCTGTGCATCCCTTTCAACTCAGGATATTCCAGGACATCTTTTTTCACTTCAGGAACAGACTGAGGAACTGAAAACAGACACCAGGCCCAGCAGAAACCTCTGCTCTGGACATCCATGGACAACTCCCAGTTCCTCCCCAGCCACCCCTCAAGGGACACGGGGATCCACACAGGTGCTGAGGCCACAGAACTCCTGGACTGTGGCCTCCACCACCTTTTTTGGGTCCAAGATCATTATTCCCCATGAAGCCCAGGTTTGCAACCATGAGAACATTCAAGGAAACCCACGAAATAAATACATTTATGGAGAACATTTTTTCTCTCAATCCCTGCAGTCCCTGGTTTATGTAAGAAGCCATTCAGAACCAAATGAGGGATGAGAAGGGGAGATGGGGGAGGGGAAGCAGGGCTGAGTTTATGCGGAACAGCTTGGCACACATCAGGCTGGATTAATCAAAGCAGCCAATTTCAAAACACAAAAACCCCACAAAAATCAAGCTTTGCTCCAGTGCAGAAGCCTGCCCTGGAATCCTCTGCCTGTTTGTTTTATGCTCAGCACACAGCTGTAAATCCACTTTTCAGTGCAGCAAGTGAGATTAGGATGTTTATTGTCTGTCTCAGTCACAGGAAAGGGATATCCCAGCATTTACTGCTCCGTGATCCCTCCGCAGAAAAATCACCTGGAATCACAGTGAGCGCTCCCAGAGCACTGAGAGGCCACAGAGCAGCCAGGAATGTTTGGAAACCACTTCTTCCTGCTCGGTGATTGAACACCATCCACTCCCTTACTCAATTAATTCCTTTCTCCTCCTCTCTGGGGTGCAAAGCCATTTCCATCAACCACCTGGAATGACACTGCCCAGCACCGGGGAACTGGGAGCCCAACTCCGATGGATTCAACACATCCTCTGCCCCAACAAAAGCCATTTATCAACAGGAATCAATGCAGCTCATGAACCAGCTGGAATGTGGACTGTTCCAGGACAAAACTGGCACCTCCAGCTTCAGGGCAAGCCATGTTTGC